ATAGGTTTAGTCAGCCGCTCATATATCCCATATATAGCCAGGTAGTCTCCATATAAACCCCAATAACCTACAAAGGTCCCTATTAAAGGTCCCTCCTAAAGCCCTTAGACTGTTGCTGTTTCTGAAGCCAGCCGAAGTACTACGAGCATGGTGTTGCTCAAGTTGAGGCCTCTAAGATGGATAGATAGATAGATAGATAGGTAGATAGATAGATAGATAGATCGATAGACAGAGATAGATAGGTAGGTAGATAGGTAGGTAGATAGATAGATAGATAGATAGGCTGGCCAGGTAAACCTAAGCCCTTATAAGAAACTGTAAGCTTGAACCAGACCTTAGTAGCAGAGTATTTGGCGGTGCTTAACCTTTTTGGGGTGTAGTGCTGTTGTCCCTAGACAATCCCAAAGGATAACCTTTCAATCCCCTAGACAAGTAAGAAACACTCTTCAAAGCAAAGGCATGCCGATCGTCTCATCGAGCACCGACCAATCTCCGAACATGCGGACTGGTACTCAGATGTTCGGCTCTGCCCCCCCCTAAACCCTGAACCCTAAAGCCCTGAACCCTAAACCCTAAAATCCTAAAACCCTAAACCTAAAGCCCTACAGCCCTAAACCCGAAGCCCCCTAAACCCTAAAACCCTAAAACCCTAAACCCTAAATCCTATATGGCTTTGGAGGGTCCTCTATCAGGGGGAACCCAGACTAAAAAGCATGGATGACAGTGTAGCTTCCAGATGTTTGTGCAAAGCCGCGCCGTACTAGCAGCAGGCAAGTTAGATCCGAAAATCATGGTGATAGGGTGCATCTAGAAAAGCAGAAAATTGTAAACGAACTAGACTTGTGAGAGCTTAATTATCTTTGATTGGGACGGACGTGCAAGCGCGCGCCTTTGCTTCCCATGATTGCAGACTCCGCTCGAACTCCGTATGCAGGTGTAAGACAGCCGGCAGCAACAAGCCTTATATTTCGTTGGTAGCTACAGAAAAGATTTAAGACGTTCTTGCGTTGCAATTGACTCAGGACAGCTTGCCATCTTAGACGGCAAGCTGTTTGCGTGGCCATCCCAAGCATTGGGCACTCAAAGCGAGTGGTCCGTGCAGAGTCTGTACACTTGCTTGTTTCCAAGCGAAGATTATTCCAAACAGGAATTGCAACAGAAAGCGAGTCCCTTAGTTGCAGCAAATAGTAGTTCATCGCAAGCATGTTTATGTATTGTGAAGTGTAACATGTTCCTATTGTAAGGAAAGTGGCGGAAGAGAACACAGACCGCATGGGTCAAATGCCATGAGGAGCTTTGGCCAGGAATTGCAGCGCCTACATTGCTGCCTCCTATATCCACCGAAAACAATAGCGATGGCCGAGGTCAGTTTCATGAAGCCACTTTGCCTACGTCTTTGTTTTGGGCTTGCCTAGTTAGCCAATGCTCAGCATCCAAAAAGCAAGCTGCCAAGCGCCGGCGCGCGAGTGCAGTCCTGTTCGAGGTTCTCATGGCTTGCTTTCGTGCAGGAGACCTAAGTATACAAGTTCAGCGCGACAATGCCACTGACTTGATTCGGGTTCCAGGTTCAGGAACAATCCCTGCATCGGCTGTGTTGGGCCACCTCAGTGAGAAACAGCGGGGGGCTGTCAAGCGTGCGTGGACAGCAGACTCCCAGGACTAGACTACTGTATTACTCTGCACGTACAAATTAGTATAAAATATTCTCAAAAGTGTAAAACCCATTCTCGCACTGGAAGGATGAAGCCAAATCATGGATGTGTCCTTGGGGGACCCAATTGAATCTGGCATCGCTTATCTTGTTCGCAGTGGATCCGATCCTCAGCCAACATTCTGGTAGGCGAGGCTGTGTGTTGAAGTGGACACCTACTGCAATGCGAACACTGTTTCGAGCTTGAACACTGTACTAAGGACCCACCCCCGCCAAGCCGAACCGTTGAAGAAGCTGGTCTTTGGTCTCTTGACACAGATCTGTTTGTGCGTCGATTCTTGGCTGGACGATTCGCGGTTTACTTCCATATCTACTCTGTCTATATCTCGAAGCTATTAGTTAGACTCCGGCTGCGTCCTGAAAAGGATTAGGATTGGGATCTGTCTGTTGCAACACTGTCGTGATACTGAAGCGTTGCTAACTACTGACTGAGGACTGCAGTCTGGACAAGATGATGACTGCTGTGGCGAGTGCTGCAGATAGCAGGAAACGGCGTCAACTGAAACTTGGTCAGTCTGCTCCTAGTGCATGGTGGCAAGCTATTCAACAGGTGAAAACCCGTGCCGATACTTTTCCGCACGAGGAGATGTCAGCAAGGGCTCTTAGCTGCTTCAAGTCCCGAGTGTGTTGACAGTCCCAGGAGTCTTTGCTATCACGGGGCATCCGGGCGTGCGACAGCTTGAAGGACAAGGCTCAGAACACCCTGGCTCATTTGGCGAGTCACATTGCTGAAAGGTATTGCGTCACGCGGCCGCAACACACATTGTAATCAAAAGTGTCACAGTGTGGCTTGCTCTGCTTCTTTCAAATCACATGGTGGCTGCTTGAGACAATAAGGTAACTACCTTAAAGACTTTGCCTCTTGCCGCCCAGGTTGCATACATGACGGCATCCAAGCGCGAGCTCGGTCAGGAGATGCACAGGCATGCACCATGCCAGCACTTGGCAGAGTACAGGGGCTGTGGCACCAGTTTAATGAATGTGAGGGTTTCCAGGGTTTGGGAGTTTAAGTTCTGGGGTTGCAGGGTTTAAGGGTTTTCAGATTTAGGGTTTAGGGTTTCAGGTTTGAGGTTTGGGCCATTGGGTGACAATATTTATTTGGCTGAACTCAGGTGTCGTTTGATGGCACAGCGGTGGGCAAAGCTCCAATGGAAGCCTACATTTGGCATTGCCTCGTGGTGTGCAGAAAGCCAGCTGTGCAACATGAAAGAAATGTAGAGCTCGGTCTTGCTTCTACACGCCAAACCTCTGGCCCAATGAATTGCCGCTCAGGCCCCGTGCAGAACATGCTCGTTTACGGACCACCAATGGTACCTCGGCCAGCACGTAGCTTGAGCGGACATCAGCTTGCATGCAACTTTGCAATGCATTCTTGCACCCACAAATATCACTTCCTGCTACGTGGCGCGTGCTCCAACAGTGGTAGATTTGTCGGTGTGGCAGCACACACCCTAACTTTTGCTGGTTGCTATGCCGCTCTACCGCTATGCCGTCCGTGTTGCGTTTATGGCCTGATGAGTATGACTGCGCTGCTACTAGCAGCACCAGTGCGTCCAAAGTTATTTCACAGACGGCTTCAGCTGACTCTGAAGTTCTGCCATCATCCCAGTCTTCCATAGAGGACTGCGTCTGTGTAGAGAAGATTTTTTTCATGACTTTACCTGTCTTTGTCATGATTGAAGATAACTACTTCAGACGAAGAATAAAATACATATGCACGAGAGACGCGGCCAGGAGGCATCCAAGACCCGGCTCACGAATGCGTCGGGCTCGCTGAAGGTGTTCTGGCAGGTGGTCAAGAAGCACCACCCGAATCTCTCGGACGGTTGGGTTTCGGCGGATTCGGGATTACATTTTCGGGGCCCAAACCCATAACCTTCCCGTCCCAAGCCTCCGCTTGTCACCCGCCTCCACCAGGACTCCTGGCTGGCCCACGCCCAGACGGCTTTCAGCATGTGCAGCGGCGTTGGGACAGCAGAGGCTGCGAGAGCCGTCCTCCAAGCAACAGTCAATGAGAGCCCCGACACCAGACACCCATTTCGCATGGACATACGAACAGTGGCTCTTTGGGTGACCGGGCTTCAATCAGTGCGCGCCAAATTAGGAAACAGCCTCTGCTAAATCTAATTGCGGTACCGCTATTACTACTGTGGGGCCTCCTTGTTTACCTCGGTCGCAACTGAGGAGAACAATCCAAAGTGCAGGCAGATCCTGGCAGACAACCATGAGTGGTGCAACTTGGCATCTGGGTGCAGCCACCCGAAGCCGCATCTCTTCCATGACATTCTATCCCTGAACTCCAACTATGCTGCACTCCTGGGGCCTGCTGGGGGTGGGGCGAGCTTTGTCTCCAAGAAAAGAAGGATTTGCCGAAGTGTGTTGGTGGAGGAGCAGCCTTGTATGTGGCACTCTGAAGGAGGACTTGGCCACTGTTGCGTCCCGTACGCGGACTTTGGTTGCTCTGGCCTTCCTTGCACTGATATGTCCGTGGCAGGCAAGAGACTGGGTCAGGAGGGTCCGACAAGCCCGGTGTATGTGACTCACGGCAAGTTCCTGTCGCGCAAGAAGATTCCGCTTTTCGTGCTTGAATGCACACCGGTTTCCAAGCTGCAGAGAAACAAACCTCAGCCTAATTCAAAGCCTGCCTTCCTAAACCTCATGTAGGAGATGCGACTCTATACATAGATCTAAGGCTCTGGATATGGGTATGGTCGAAGACACTCACGAGGACTACGACTTGTACCAGCTTTTCGTAACACCCCAAGATTGTGGGCACGCAGGCACCGCCCGCGAGCGCACGTACGTGATTGGGTCGCACAAGGAACTGACTTCCTGCAAGCAGGATCCCTTCCAAATGCTTGAGAAGTGCCGCCGCAAGATGCGGACAGTGCGGACGCAACCCAAGGACTACCTGGTGGCTGATCCTTGGGAAATTACTTTGGAAGCCATGACAGTCATCAATCGCCGCAAAATCTCCTGGACTCCGAATGCTATGGGAGAGGTTGTGGACCTCCGAGGTTTGTTGACTACCAGGGAGCAAGCAGCACTTCATGAGTATGAGGCCGAATATAGGAGACGCTATGCTAAGGACCCCAGGGCTGACAAAAACTTGGTGCTGTTCTTGGGAGACAACCCCTCCTACTCCTTGAACTGGAGCGCCGTGAGCAAGCGTGTGCCCACACTGAGAATGAATTCGAGAACTGGCTTGTTGTGGGTGCCTTCTCGGAACCGGTGGTTGGTGGCCCGCGAGCGGCTGGCCACCCTGGGGTGGCCTGTGACTTTGGACATGGCTTCAGGGATGGGGGCACCGCTGGTGGAGGCCAGCGATTATCTGAGGGCAGCAGAATTGGCAGGGAATGCCATGAGCCTTCCCTGTGTCGGTCTCGCCCAGCTCTTGGCACTGGCATGTTTTGCACCGATGGCTGCTCAGACTATGTAGAATGGTGATTGCACGGAATCTTTCCTTACATAACTAAGTCACAGATACGCCGCCCCATCCCGTTGTTTCATCCCAGACTCGAGTTTCTGATTCTAGAGGCAAAGCCATCAAGCCGTCTGCCTGTACAGCGCAGTGCCGTGCTGCAGTGCTGAGTGCTCGCGATAGCGACGACCCCGCTTAATGTCAAGCGACAGTCGATCCGAAGATGACTCAATGACGGGAGCAGCACAGGTGGCTCCAAAGTGATTGCATGCAGAGCATATTATAAGCATGGATTATCGAAGCAGCAGCAGCAGCAGCAGTGTGTCAGTGGCAGAGAGAGAGAGAGAGAGAGAGACTGTGTGTGTGTGTGTGCACTTGTGCTGTGCACGGCTCAGTTCAGTAGTGAAAAGGCATCCCTCTGGGATCTTTGCTTAGAGCAAAGCTGCCTACTACCCCCATGTCAGGCTCAGCTTTTAGCTTCCGCGGTTTTGACGATCCACCAGATTATGAATCGGGCTCGTATAGTGACGAGTCAGAGAGCGCTCCTCGGAGCAGCAAGAAGCGCGGGACCGGCAAAAAGCCGAAAGCGAAGGGCACCAAGCGGCCTCGCGCGAGTAGTAACAAGCCCAGCCAAAAAGAAGGCAGCAGGCGGGGCAACGGGAAAATTATGAAGTACACCACCTGGCGCAACACACCCGAAGCTTGGCTGTGCAACTTTCTGAATTTCTTTTCCAGAATCGACGTATCACATCCTATTCCCGGTCAAGCAGCTTCCCTGCCTTCTTGTTTTCTTGGCCCGCCCAGGAATGTCATCTCATCGATTACATGCAGGCGGCTGAGCCTGCGCAGTTCCGGAGGGCGAGCTTGGAAGCACTGAGCTGCAAATCCGTACGGAGGGTCTTCTACGGGATGTTCCGGCAGCCACCTTATTCCCGCCCGACTGGGCACCTAGCTTGCACCAGCTTGAGTGAGTGTCTGTTTGTATTCTCCAAACATTATTTTGCACTTCCCAAAAAAAATAATAGGCCTTAAGTGGGCTCATGTCAATAATGTCATAGACAAAATTCTAAGGAAAACGAAGGCTGACATCCAGGAATACCTTCTGCGTGAGTACGCTTCCCTTGGCCGGCCATGTGCTGGGAAGACCGTGGCAGAGGTCCTTGACCAGACGGAAGTTCTCCTGTCCGCGTCATTGGAGTTTTCCGTTCATGAAACGGAGGAAGGCAAGCAGTACATCACTTGCGACAACCAGAGCAGCTGGTTGCCCGCAGGCAAGAACAAGTTTCAGACAACCGTCTTCAGGGACTCCCAGAAGATTCCGTACATCACCAATGGCACCGAATCCTTCTACTGTGTCAAGTTTTTCAGTGCCCCTGATCCTAGCACCGCACTTGTTCCTGCAGGCACCAACCCCATCCCCTTGCCACACGCGCCTTCCAGTGCAGGGTCAGCCCCAGTACCAAAACCGCTGCCACCGATTGCAGCTGAGCCCGAGGCTCCACCCCCTCCAGCGGCCCGAACCATGTTTGTGGATGCCCCGACAGCGACATTGCCAGGAATGGCGCCGGCCACGACCAGTGACCTGGTTTCGTTTTGGAGTTCGCATAATTTATTGCTTGTTGCTGTGCATCTCCTGCATTGACCGAGCATCAATCCCCTCATCATGCGACAAACTAACGCAACCGTCAACCAGCTCAGCGTTATTCATAAGAATCGGCAACCTGACTGATACCGATAGTCCTAGATAGCCTAGTACAGACTCAGCTTGGCATGGTTCGTCATTTTAGAGTTCTGGGATTCCACAAACAGTTGCCTGTGAGATTGATTTCGTTTAATCATTCTTGTCTTTAAACTGATTCGCTTTGCAGCCAAGGCGTTCCTCCCCCACCGCGGGGACCAGCCCCAATCGCCGAGCCAACGCCCAACGATAAGGTAGAGGTTGCTCCACCTGAGTCTTCCGGCTCTGACAGCGACAGCGAGGCGCTCGGGGTGCACGAAGATTTGGCAGTGATTTTAGGCTCATAGCGTATATATTATATCCTGAGACTTAGACGATGTATTTCATACTTCCAACACACTCTTCCCTGGTCCCTCTGGGTTAAGATTCTGTTGACCCAAACAAAGTGCCTGAAATAAACTTAGGGCCTTGGACTGGGATCATGTGTTCTTGGGTCCTTTGATTGAAAACCGGTCCTAGGGTTCCAAAAAGTAATTCTATCGCAATTCAAAATATAGCACCTCTCGGGAATTACCCCCCTAACCTTGACTGCATAAATCCTGGTATTATTGTTGACACGAAAAGATTACAGTCCGCTACAATGCTTTCAGAGGACCCCCCCCCCCCCCCCCCCACCCGGTCGAGCTGAAA